TCTTCTTCCTCTTCCACTTTGGTCTTTTTAATTGGAATATAAACAAACAAATTTAAAAAGAGGATATTTGTTATGTCCATACCATGCAAAACATTTTAAACCCACCCAAAGGCCATGTAGAAAATTAAAGTGCTGGTTTTAAATAGTTATAATATTTTAATTTTAAACTTTGATTCATCTCAATCTTTTATTATTAGAATTTTTATAGAAAAATTATATTTTATGGTCCTTAAAGAGCCTAGGTTATATATTCGATGAGCATCCCAGACAAACCAACAACCATAGAAAGAGGAAAGTCAGCACACAACATAAAATAAACCAAGCCAAAATGAATATAATAATAATAAGCAGGGGTCGGTTGCTGCTGGGTCGGCAATATATTTAAAAAAAAGCAAACAGGCGACAGACTCCACATATACATGCTTGATCCTAATATTATACTTCAAATATAAAATCAGAATTAAAGTATAGACATGAGCAACTGCTTCAGTGCGTCAAGTGCCTCGAAACTTGTGCTCGTACTTTATTTCTGATACAGACTTGAACTTACGGACTATAAAAAGAGTACATATGCAAAATTAAGAAAGAAGGTCGACCTGCAAAATAGAATTAGTACGGGCTATTTCATGCAACGCGAAATAGGCATGTCCGATGAGAGGAGAGCTTAATAGTACCTGCAGAAAAGACGTTAGTTTAAATCATTAATACTCCTCCCTGTTAGCCATGACACCCTACAGAAGACCCCCTAAATATACTAGTGTGCAAGTCCAAACTTGGTAAACACACAAAACAATACAAAAGTTCTTGGCTAGGCACAAACCATCAATAATAGTCGGTGCATATGAAAATCCTAACTACACCCTAGCTCTAGTCTAGCAAGCATGTAACAACAAGTTGTCCTAGTCGCAACACTTAAGTGTGTGCAAAGTGTGAGTAAAGGCTAATATATGATTTTGACGAGGTTGCCGACACCGGCTCTGTCTTAAAGATTCAATAGATCTAATAAGCGTCACTTGGGGATGACATTTTAAAGAGATGACCCGACAAATGGTCTAACTCATATAATTTTAAAATTGGGTGAATAATATATAATAGAAAATAATAATTTTTTATTTTATTTTTAAATAATTTAATTGACTAGAAGGCTACAAAAATTTATAATCAATTAAAATTATTTATTAAAGAGAGAATAAAAATATATGAAATTCTATTTAAATGAATATTTTAATATAAATAATGAGATTTAAATCTCATCCCTATCATTAGCATCCTACGGTGGCTTGACTAGGGATGTTAAAACGACTTGTTGTTCCTGAATAACTTATGTTCGGCTCTCTAAGCAAACTAGTCGAACACAAGCAAATTTTTTGTGCTCGATATATTAACTAGCCGATCATGAAGAACAATATTTTTTAACAAGCTAAGCCAGGCTCTCTCAAGCTCGACTCATTTACACCCTTACTAAAATGTTCAACCACATCTTGGCATTGTTCCTCAAAGTGAAAGGGAAAAACCTTAATTTAATGGTATCACTTGGGAAATCATTATACCTAAATGTGACATATAGTTCTAGAAACTTTGCTAAGTGAAGGTTTGGGTCTTCTGTGGGTAACCCCTCAAACTGATTGATTTGTATCATTTGAAGTATGGCAAGTATAAGTTCAAAGGCATTGCCATCTACAATAGAGTGGTTAATGCTCATATGAATCTCATCTACAAACATGTTGACATACTCCCTAAGTGGCTTTATGGTGTGATCTTGAGGGTTAGTCATCTCTAATGGTGTCTCAAGTAGTGATTGTGCTCTTCTAAGTCGTCTAAATGTTTGCTCGTTTGAAGGCTCAAAGGATACTAAATCGACGAGTGTAGTCGTATGCATACACTACAGATGAGTGAACTAGTGATCTTTGTCTAAGGCCAGACACAACAAGCATACAAAACACTCACCCACACCACATGTCTTTAAACAAACAAAAACCTCTTTTTGTTATCTTATTGGCTTTTTGACTGTTTTCTTTTTTTTAACTTCTGTAATAAACAATGGCAAATTAACAATGAAATGTAATATAACAAAATTCAAAGCAAAATAGGGACAACAAATATAAAATATCAAACATAGATTTTTAGTTGTTCAACTACAATTCACCTAAAGTCGGAATATTTCTGAACTTCTTTCCCCAACAATAGCATCAAAAGCTTGATGGCCAAAAAGTTGTTGTGAGGCAAGTGGCCAGACACACAAGTATATGTGTCAAGTAAAATGTGAATCCGCGTGTCCGCGTGTCGACCTCAAGAAGAATATTGATTCAGATAGGTGAATCTCTAGTTTACTAAACTATGAAACCTAGTTTGATGCGATCACAAATGCAAGAATAAAAGCCTAAGCAACAATAAGTAAAACAAATAGCAAGATCAAGAAACATTGGAAACATGTAGTTGGGGTGTCCTTCATGGGGAAGAGACTCGTGCTTCTGTGACTATCGTGGTTTTCTTAGGAATTTACCTACATGATAGTTGTCAACTAGTGATAACAATTCCTTTTAGCCTATTCCTAGGTCATAAGAAGAGCCGGAAATCATATTACAATTAAACGAGGTTTAACCATACAGTGTTTTCCGGGACTCTTTAGATCCCATATATGGGTTGTAAACCCCTAATGACAATATGTTTATTTCACTACGTTTTTATGAGTTAACTTATTCATTTCACTAGGCAACAATCAGAAGTCCTAGATCATGAATATTTTTAACTTCCTAATGGGTCATATCAGGAGTAAACTAAGTTCAGAGTTTAACCCAACAACTTGCATGCATGATAAACACGAGAAAATATTATGAGGAAATCACATGCAAGAAAAATCCCAAAAAATCACTATCCTTATATCACAGGAGCATTAAGAGAATTTAGCTACAAGAAATATGAGAGAAAAACCAAAAGTGAGTTGTTGAAATTATTGAAAACCAACACATATATGAAAGTAAAAACATATAACCAATTTTTCTCTCCACACGAGCAACAATCCTCGTCGCACAATAGATATTCTCCTAGATTTATCTATCACACTAGCCACAATCTCTCTCACAAACTTCCTCTCGAAAACATTAAGAAAACACAACAAACCACCTTAAGGGACTTCTTCCTCCAAGAAGGAAGAGTGAAACCTCGAGGGCACTCAATGGAACTTTCTCCTCAAGAAAACCTAACCTCCAGTCGTCCAAAGATGCATCCTCTCGATCAAATACATGTATTTATAAGCAGGGCTCTACTAAAGGCAAGACTTCTTCCCATAATTGAAATTTGTGTACTGGGCAGGCCGACACCCATTCCCGATGAGGATGCATTTTGTCTGGAATGAGTCCGGTGCGGGTCCGCCGGTTAGGCGGCGCGAGTGCACTATTGTCTGGTAGAGCGGTTGCGGGTGCGCTAATCCTAAGTCAGGTTTTGGGCAAGGGGTGTTTGGCATTTGGTACAGGGGCGTTGGGATCTGGTGTGGCTGCGCCCTACTCACAGCATGGGTATTCGCTAGCTCTGTCTCTCGTGTGTGCGCTCTGCTATGGCGTGTAGGTGATGACACTCTCCATCTCTGATGCGAGTGTGCTTGACAGTTTTTTTGTCTTTTGGCTCTCAATTCACTACTTTTTTCCCCCAAGTGGCTTAAATCCGGACATGCTATGCTATCTAGTATCTTTTTTATTCTCATTGACCACTTCTCTGCTTCAGTTTCCTTGAGCAAAGGTAAATGTAGATCTTGAAATATCTTTAAATACTTATTCACATCAACTGTCTCATGTCTACCAAACTATGGTATGAACTCCTAAATCAACTGAGTCATGGTTGTCAACATTCGTATTCGCATTTGTAGCGGTGGTACTTCTATATTTTCTACCACATTCCTCTTCCTAAATCTCGGGTGCATCCTTTTGTCTGAATTAAAATAATTACTTAATTAGTGTTACCTTAAAATTTTAATTTATTATTGTAAAATCTCGGGTGCATCCTTTTGTCTGAATTAAAATAATTACTTAATTAATGTTACCTTAAAATTTTAATTTATTATTGTAAAATTTTCTTATAATTATTCTATTAGCTCTTTCATTACGATTGTATTAAATAATTTGAAATATTTTTCTCTCACCACTTTTATCCCTACCCGACTCTGGACTTGCAAGTAGCCGCGACGGATATAGTCGGTGGAATAGTGAAAAATTAAAATTTTCTCTATTCATTTTCTATACTAATATTTAACAAACAAAAAAGTCAATATATAAAAAAAATTAAATTAAAGCAGTTCTAAGTTTACCTTAGGTCAAGTTATCAGTGTCTTCTATAAATATTTAATTTTCTATTGCTTATCTTTTAATCAATTAATTAAATCTAAAATGTTAGTTTAAAACAATAATGAGTTAACTAAAGCAGTCAATACTCACATTCCTAAATTACAATAAGGTAACAAAAAGAGAATGATATGTATGCTAGTCAGAGATATTATAAATTAATATAAAAACAGTAGACATTTACTTTTTCAAATAAGACTTTTCACGATAGTTTATAACATTCAATGTGTTTTAACATATCAATAACATATTTTTATCGTTTTATATTGTACAACAGTCACAGGAGCACTATATAAAATTATGTCAATTAATATACGTCAATATCAATAATTTTTTTGTTTACGTGCACAGGTATCTTAGCGTTTCCCTGGTACTAGGTACATATAATGTATATTCATATATGTACATATAATGGAAATGAGACCAAACCTGACCTCCCTGTTCTATGGTAACCTTCTGAAGCTGATTTGAATTAACAACATTTTCTGGGTTGGTGTCGGAGAGTTCCTTAAGCAATATGTACTAAATGCCAAACTTCAAATCTAAAAACATTCAGCTACTTACCTGTATAATAGTTTTTATAGTATAAGCAAACTAACTTTGGTTAGGGTTTGCTTTTGCACTAGGCTGTGCTATTATTCTAGTTAACTTTTTGACTATATGCAGAAACGCAAGCATATTCATGGTGAACTCGAGAAAATACAAGGAGTTCCGATATACGAAAAAGATTCAGAGGCTGCAGAAGTTGCTAAGGACGAAGCACTGAAGGAGTTGGACAGTATCAACAGCCTTGTAGAGTTACTTAAGCTGAACCTAGAGAGAGCACAAATTAACAAGGTCCAAGCCAAGCAGAATGCACAACTCGCTCAGCTTCAAGCCAAAGAGATCAAAGATGGTATTGCCGATGCGGCAAGCATTGCATCGGTATCAAAACTTGAGGTTGCTGAAGCTTGGTATGAAGCAGCAGTTGCAGAACTGAACTCTGAATTAATAGAACTTCAAGAACAAAGCACTTTTCTAGTTGGTCAAAGTGAAATTGTGATGAGAAGATCTGAGGAGGCTATTTCTGCTTCCAAGGAGATCGAGAAGGAAGTGGAGGGCTTAACCCGAGACCTCATCACCGCAAAAGAATCACTTGAATCCGCCCATGCTGCACATCTTGAGGCTGAAGAGCATCGCTTGAGTGCAGCTCTGGCTAGAGATAAAGATTGCCTTTACTGGGATAAGGAACTACAGAAAGCTCAAGAAGGGCTGCACATGCTTAATGAACAATTTTTGCAGGTGAAGGATGTCAAGACAAAATTAATAGGAGCATCCAGTTTGTTGGCTGAACTCAAAAAAGAATTGGCTGCATATATGGAATCCCAACTGAAAGAACAGTCAGCGAGTCTTGAAGAAGACGAGTCCGAAGATGATCTGGATTTGGCTTCTAAGAAAAAGGAGCTTGACAAGGTTAAGACTAATGTTGAGATGGCAAGAAATGAAGTCAGCATACTAAGAGTAGCTGAATCCTCACTCAAGTCTAAGCTTGAAAGCGAGAAAGCGGAGCTTGTCTCATTGAGACAGAGGGAAGAAATGGGTTTGATAGCTGTTTCCTCACTTGAAGCTGAGATTGAAAGGACAATAGAAGAAATCGAACAAGTCGTTGCGAAGGAGAAGATAGCGCGGGAGAAGGTGGTGGAGCTTCCGAAATTGCTTCAGCGAGCGGCTCTTGAAGCAGAAAAATCAAAGTCATCAACTAAGATGGCACGAGAAGAGCAAAGGAGGTTAATTGAAGAAGTAGAGCAAGTTAGATCCACTTTAAGCATATCAAAGTTTAGGCTGACAGCAACTTTAAAGGAAATTGAAGCTTCTGCAGCATCAGAAAGGCTGGCACTTGCAGCTGTTAAAGCTCTAGAGGATAGTGAGGCTGCTGCCGCTATGGGAGAGTCTTCTCTGGGAGTGCCCCTTCCTCTTGAGGAGTACTACACCCTGAGCAAGAAGGCCCACGAAGCTGAGGAGTCTGCTAATGAGAGGATCATTGCTGTAGCAGCCGAAATTGAGGCGGCCAAGGTATCTGAGTTGAATAGTTTGCAGAGATTGAAATATGCATACCAGGAGTTGGATAGAAGGAAGGAAGAATTGAGGGATGCTGCTGAAAAGGCTAACAAAGCTAAAGAAGGTAAACTTTGGGCTGAGCAGGGGTTGAGAAAGTGGAGGGCTGAGCATGAGCAGCAGAGGAGAGCAAGCAGAGGTGGCCAAAGTGCTTTGAATCCTCCAATGTCTCCGGCAAAAAAAACTGATGATAGTTTTGTGACAAAAACTGAGAGCACAGCAGCTGTTTCTGTTGCAGCTAATGTTATTCATCTTTCCCCAGGGCCAAAGGTTCACATATCAGGTGATAAAATAGAGCATGCTGTCCCAGATTTCAAGCCAAGGAAGAAGTCTTTTATTCCTCACATGGTTATGTTCATAGCCAGGAAAAAGGCACAATCAAGGAAGTAGTTATCTGGCTTGGTGGAAAGTGCCTATTTTGTATTCATTATGCCTAGAGTATCCATTATTGCTCATGCCCAAAAGGTGGATACAAGTACAAGCTTGACTTGCTTATTTGTAGAAGCTTTGCTGAATAATTGGAGCGTATATTTGTAATCAATTTGTGAAGGTTGGAGTTTCAATTTGTAAAGGGATTTGTTTGAATAACACTGCCAGTTAAAAGAGAAAAGACTGAAATTTTTAGTAATGTGGTTGGTTCAAATTTGATGTCAATTTTGGGCATTTCACAGAGAGAGAAAGAGAGAGAGAGGATTGAGTAAGCCAGATGTTACCTTCTGTAAGTATAAATAATGTTAAAAGGTGTGTTGCAGCTAGGGGGGTGTATAGATTTACTCAAAACGGAGGAAGATGCACAGTGAAGTAATCTGTGAGATGAAGGCCCCGTTTGGGGCAGTTTCATTGGAGCGTTTGCATTTTGAAAATACAACCGAGGCGTTTGTCTCGTGTGTTCGCTCTGCTTATCCGAATAAGTCGTTCAGGTTTTCTTAATAAACGCGGTCGCAGGCTCGACCCTGCGGTCCACGTTCTTACCCCCTTTTATTACCCGCATGCCCTCCGTTCCTCGCTTGACCCCCATTCTGCCCTTGGTGACTCCTCGCTCGTCTCTCTCCCTTGAATGCTCCTATATTGCGATTAATGGTGTCTTGCACCTCTTCCTTCTCCCTCCGACCTCTGGTTATTATGCTCTGTAAATAATTTTCGATGGAATGTCTTTCTATATTCTATTTGTGGTGATTTTTCGATGGAATGATATTTTGTATGCAGTTTCCCGATGGAATGGCTTTCTTTATGCTATTTTTTTTATTTTTGGATGTTATTTGGAGAATGGGTGAAAGTGTGTGTTTCATTTGACGATAGCAAGACTTCAGATACTCATTTGCAGAGGGTGATCATTCGTAGATAGTAAGTTTTCGAGTGCCTTGTATTTCATTGCCTCAAATGAAAAATATTGGATGAGATTTCATCAATTCCTTTGATGTTTGTGTGACAATTTGAAAATTGGATGTAAAGAGTGCTTGGTTTGTTCATAGCATTCTTTCAGGTGGCCTTTTTGTAGTTGCATCTATTCAATAATGCGTTATTTTTACTTTTATGCTTCAACTATAAATTGAAAAATGGATGAAAGTGGATGCTTCATTTGTAGATGGCACTGTTTCGAGTGGTCTGTATGTAATTGCATTGAATTAAACATGAAGGGAGATGCTTCTTTGAGGTGTGGGTTGTGGGCTATGGTTGGGTGAAGTGTGTGGTGGTTATGGGTGGGTGGGTGTGTGTGTTGTGTGGGGCTGTGGTTAGCTGTTGTGTGTTGTGGTTGTGGGTGTGTGTGTGGTTGTGTGTAATGTAAATTGTGGTTGTGGGTGTATTTGTTGTGTTGGGCTATGGTTGGGTGCTTCGTTTATTGTGATTGTGGGTGTGTGTGTGGTTGTGTGTGATGTGGGTTGTGGTTGGATGTTGTGTGTTGTGGTTGTGGGTATGAGTATGGTGGTTGTGTGTGTGTTGTGTTGTGTTGTGGTTGGGTGCTCTGTGGGGTGTGGTTGTGGGTGTGTGTGACTGCGTGTGATGTGGATTGTGGTTGAGTGTTGTGTATTATGGTTGTGGGTATGTGTATGGTTGCTGTGGGTGTATGTGTGGTGTGGGTATTTATTTGCCTCAAATGAAATATGGGAAGGGATTGTGTTTTTTGTTCATTGATGTGACTTGTATTTAACTGCTTCAAATGAAATAGGGGAAGGAGTTGCGGTTCATTGTGGTTCATTGTGGTTGTGGGCATTATGAAGATTTTAGCCTAAAAGAGCCTCTTTATAATTTTATCCCGTTTAGAGCATTTGCAATAATTTTTCAATTTGAATCTCTTGAGGGTCTTTTGGAGCAACACTTTTGGTGTTTGTGGGTGTTGGGGGTGGGTGGTGGATGTGGTGGGGGTTGGGTGATGGTTGTGCTGGGGATTGGTGGTCGATGTGCTGGGGATTAATGGTGGATTTGCTGGGGGTGGGTGGTGGATGTGTTGGAGGTGGGGGGGGGGGGGGGTGCTGGGTGGGGGTGGTAGTGTTGGGGTTGGGTGGTGGATGTGTTTGGGGTGGGGTGTTGGTTGTGTTGGGGTAGAATGGTGGATGTGCTGGGGGTTGGGTGGTGGTTGTGTTGGGGTTGGTGGCTGTGCTGAGTTGGTGGCTTTGTTGGGGGTTGGGTGGTAGTTAATATATATTCTCTGGTTGATCTGAAATTTTAATGTTTTCTCTTTTGTTTATTAGTAAGGCAGTGGTTCAAACTAAAGAATTCAGTTCATCAGTCATGTGGGATAGGGAAGTCACACTCATATTTTGCGACCTGTGTATTAAGGAGGTTGAGCTAGGAAATAGACCCACCATCTATTTTAACAATGAAGGGTGACAAAATATTATGAAGAAGTTTAATGAAATGACAGGAAGGGAGTACAATAAGTTGCAATTCAAAAAAAAATGGGATCAGTTGAAAAAGGATTGAAAATTATAGAAGGAACTAAAATGGGGATCCACGGGCTTAGGTTGGGGTCCAATCAAATTGATTATTGATGCTTCAGAGGAATGGAGGACTAAAAAATTTGAGGTAATAACCAACCCACTGAAGACTCATTTTTCCTTACTTTATCCTACTAAGTTGTTTGAAGTAATAAACTTGTTTCTATGTTGCAGGTAGTGCCAACCGCCAAGAAATTCAAATTCAGTGGCATTGTCCCTGACTTGGAGGAAAAGTTGGACCTTATGTTCAGTGGGGCGGTTTCAATGAGCACTCATGCGTTCACCTCTGGTGAGCATTGGTTTACAAGCATACCGGAGGACATGGAGACCGAGCAAGTAAGTGCGTCCAGCGAACGCCCCAGCCTAAACCAAATAGCGTTGGAGTCCACGTGCAGGTCAATGCATCCTAGGGTGGAGAAAAGGAAAAAAAGAGCTACTTTCGTCAAAAGCCAAATAGTAAAACTGGTGGGTTCATGCACAATTTAGGCTGGTACTTCACATGAAACCTCCATATACGACTTTCTCTGAGTTACAGAGACATTTCACAAAATTTATGGGGAAAAGCCATTGTTTCTGAACTCCTTGAAGTTGCTGGAGGACCTGACCCATAGATAGATAATCATGAAGATGCTCCCCAGTTGTCGAGTCGACTATTTACGTTTATTTATGGACAATTGATTTTGTAAAGTTATTGTTTAATGGCTTTGTTTTTTTTTCAGTTTGTTTCATGGGATATTTGATTTGGATATTTTTCTTTCTAACACGAACAATTTATATGTTGCTCTGTATTTATTTTTTCTCATTATACTTTGTCTTCAGATTTTAGATATTCTTTTAACATTGTCCAATTGACACATATTACTTGAACAGAACAATTCTTTAGCATGGACTCACAACAAGGGACTCACAACAAGGGAGCCTGGATGGCCTGTTAGTCATCGTTACTTGGTGTTACATGTGAAATCCTGATAAAGACAACCAAGTTCCTCTTTTCTTTCTAATGCTGGGGTTTTTGAGATACTTCTAGATGGTCTATTAATCGTTGTTAGTTGGTGTCACATGTGAAATCCTGATAAAGACAACCAAATTCCTCTTTTCTTTTCAATGCTGGGGTTTTTGAGATACTTCTGGATGGCCTTTTTTTTAGTGATATGCATATGTAACAAGCTCGAGCTTGGTATGAAGTGAACTAAAGGGAACCAAGAACCTCTGTTTTATAAGGTCTGTCGTCTTCTTATTGTGACAGGTGCGGTAGGGTTGATGTACTTAGTTCTTTAAGATCTCAGGCCAACAAAAAACTATAATTCATTATTCCTTTTGTCAATTTATACTTGTGCTATGAATAAAGGATTGCCTTTTGAATCATTCAGGGAAGATGAGCTCTAGGATTTTAGGCACCTCCCAAAGATTGCTTTGCCACTGCTTACTTCAGACTTCCTTACTAACGTCACGTTAGGCACAGAGCTACGGGAGACAGTCCTACAGGTGCCCGTGAAGAATCACAAAGAAGTGTGACTTCTTCTAGTGGGCAGATAGTCTGAAAGATTTCATTGCAGACAATGATCGAGAATGAGTGGTATCCCTAGAGGGCGATGTAGCTCGTGACATACGCCATTTGCACTTTAAAACTAATATTATCATATTTTTAAATGTAATTTTAATATTTTTTTTTCCTTTTTTTAGCAATATTGAGACTCACTGTTAAATAAGGTGTGCGTCTTACTTTTTTGTACCATTTAAAAGTGGTTTTTTTCTTCTCAAGTATTAAATTTATTGCTATGACAGTTCTGCTGCAAACAACATTACTGCACAGAGACAAAATTATTATTTATCTAGAAACAGTTGCAAAGCAGTTTTTTCCAATAACACAAACCAAACAACCAACCAATTTATCCAGATCAGCTGCTACGCAACAGTTTATCTGCGGCAACAGCTTATTAATACATTGTAGCTGCCCCAAACAGACCCGAAGTGTGACTCAGAGAAAAGAACTAAGCAATGGGGCTCATGACTTTTATGGAATAAATTGTTTGAAGGTGGGGTTAGCAATACTCCATAAATTTCAGCAGAAGCATTGAAGTAGAAGTGGATTATAACTCTTGCCCAATGACTTGTCTTGCAACATGCTTGCGTTGGAAATGCAATCAGACTTACCTGGGCTGTTTTAAAAAAAGGAAATTACCAGGCTTACATTACGCAGCTTCAAGTATTGAAGTAGAAGTGGATTATAACTCCTCCCCAATGACTTTTCGTGTAACATGTTGTGTTGGAAGTGCAATTAGACTTACCTAGGCTATTTTAAAAAAAAGTTGTTGTTAGAATTACATGATGCAGTGAATATGTCATAAAGGATTGACTCCCATAGCTAATATTCATGTGAGGGATATGATGCAATGAATTTAGTTATGTACTATAGTGTGAATGCTAATTCTATGTAATTTTTTTTAAATTGGATATCATTGTCGGCACTATTTTTGGTGTGGGGTTTGCCCGTAAGAAGCCGTCGGTCATTGAAATTAAAATCCCGTTGCCCGCTTCGGAAGGACGTTTTAAAAAATTTTAGTTTTGAAAAAGATGAAGTCAAACTGGCCCCATAATTTTCATAGTTTAGATGAAAGAGCGTTTTACCTCAAATCCTGTATCTATCCCGAAGGATGAACACAAGAGTTGAGGGTGAGGGCTCGATCAAATAAACTAAAGAAAGTTATGACGTCCGTTTTGGTCTGCGAAACCAATGTATTGGCCGACAAGTTCCCCTATTTAATATAAGGAATTAAATAGGGTTTATATTATGCTGGGTTCGAGAAAAGCTTCCTATAAGGGCAAGCCCCTATAGTTAATTACATCATAGATAACTGAAGTTACCTAAAAATACTCTCGATAAAAGTCAAGAAAAATTACCTTCAAGGAGTTCAAATGGTAAGGACATCTCAAAGATATCGGACTAAGAAGTGTGAAGGGG